TTGGAGTCTAATCTTGGCATTTCTGTGTAATGCTATGCAAAATAGTCTTTGAATTCATGCAAAAGATTAACTATCTTTGCCTGATCTACGGTTTCCAACAAGCCACTAAGCTGTATTGGCCTTGGATCCTCCTTAGTTCCTAAATTAATGTTTTCTAAGGAATCTTGAACTTCGGGTGCTGGTTTATAGGGCTCTATAGACAAAAATTCTACTGACTTTGGAGCCTTGGGCTCATCCTCTGGCCAATCTAAGTCATATATACATTCTGCCATGTGGATGGTTGCCTTTATTTCTTCTTCCAAAATTTCTCTTCCTTGATCATCTTTAGTGCCTGAAGTTCCCTTTCCTCACTCTATTATTTCTTTGGTTGAGCTTTCCTTGATCCCTTTTTGCTATCTTCCATAATCTAGCAATCTCTTAATTAAGAACCTGACCGCTATCACTTGGTCCTTTCTCTTTTAGTCTGTCATCATTGGTGGTGGCGGGCAGGGACAATATAAGGCTTGTTCCTTTCCTCCTGAGTGAGAAAAAGTCATTGTTCTAAGAGCTTTTGGGCCGTCACCTTGGTAGGGTGGCCGTTCTGATCAGCACCTAGACATTGTATGATCCTAACATTGGGATTGTAGAAATTGGCCTCAACAACATTAGCTATGGGGAGAAATGGCCGTGACTTGGCCTCCACCATCTCCTAAAATCCTTGTTCTGTAGTAGTGGGTTCATGATAGACAACAACTTGTTGGTGCAAGGTAGATGGTATAGACAAACTCTGGTGTATCCAATCCATTCCCAGCAACGCCCCATAAGTAGAGCTATTGTCTACCACAAAAAATGCCAACATAATCTTCTTAAATCCCAAGTCTACTTCTAAGGGTAATATCCTATGTGTTTTCGTGATGGCCCTAGAAATACTAGACATTGTGAGATCAATAGGAATAAGGTCTTCTTCACCTTTGCAAAGTCTCTTTATCTATTTAATTGGTAGTACATTAACTGTTGCCTCATCTATCAACATCATTTTAAATGGAACTCTTTCCTAATGAGTTGTCACATATATGGGCTTTAGATAGCTTGCTAAGGCCAGACTTGGTTTTTTGAATACTATCTTATCAGAATAAACTTTCTCGGGCTTTTTTGTGTGGGGTCGGGGAAATCTGCCAAGCTTGACCCCTTCTTACTAACTTCTTCAATGTTTACAAGAGCCATCATTGGCTCTTGTGCCAAATAATCATCCTCCATTACTGTTGGTTGATTTGGTTATGTACAGAACATGAAGGATAATACATAGGTCATATTTACGTGAAAGTTGCTAGGTCCAGGTGTTCCTTCCTTCTTCTCCTCAATCTGGCACAGAAACCGATCTATCAATGATTGGGCATCTTTGGTTAACATTAACTCGGGCACTTCCTCTTCTTCTATTATGTCAAATTTATGTAGCTGCCTTGGAGTTCCGAAGGGAATATCCACTTGTGGTAGTAGATGCATCCTTCTTTCAGGAGAAATAGTTCCAAAACAAATAGGCTCTAGATTCCAACGTAGGTACCATCACCATGCTCTCTTGCATTCTTTTTAATACCCTGTATTTCCTTAGATTAGGAGTTTGAGGAACATGATCCCCTCCACCTTCAACCTTGTTATTATCCCTTTCTACTTTTCTCTTACTTCTCCAATTTGGTCGTCTCTCTCCTCCATGGGTAAACACCTCGAACTTAACATTCTCAGAAGCTTATGAAATAGAAGGAATTTTTAATGAGTTCATATGAGCCTTGTGTTGCCTCTGAACCTTTCTTATCATGGATGCCTCCATTTCTCTAATAGATTTTTCGCCTTTACCCACTATGTACCATTTTTGGCCCAATCAGACCGAATTCACCTTTGTAACTGGTGGTATCGGGCTCATGGTTCTTTCTTGCCTTCCTTGTCTCATGCTACTATGGTTGGTTGGCTGGGGAGTCTTTACATCCACCTAACGTGGTAACCTCACATCTTTATCTTCCACTTCTTCATAGGCTTCAAAGTTTCTAAACATTTCAGATAGACCCTTAGGCTCTGAATCTCCTCCTAACCTTTGGAACATATTCTTAGTCATCTTTTATTTGTTTCAGCAACCCGAAGAATACTCATGCGGACGTCCTGTTTTTCTAGCTCTTTCCTTCTGACCAACTCTGAATCAATGATGACACCTAATGCTGGTACCTCGAGCTCACATTCACATTGACATCAACTATGCAAAACTACTCATTTGACTACAACTACTTAGGGCCTGCCGGGCAACCTTCTGGTGCCTTGTTTTGGCCTACATGCTTACTTTCTTTCTCCTTTTTCATCCTCTTAATCCAATTAAGATTTATCATGTTGATTGGGGCTTCTGGGAATGGATCTGTGCCAATCATCATGTTGGCCTCGAATTTTTCCAGCAACAATTTCCCTTTGACTATAAGGTCTTGGATCCAATCTCTAAACTGCACACAATTAGCAAATAAGTGATTAAAGATATAATGGACCTTGCAATACTTCTTTCCTTTGAGTTCTTTAGGTTTAGGCATCTTCTTAATGTTGTTGGGCAAGATTACCCGAGCCCTTACCAGTTCTTCATAAATGTCTGCGGCCTTAGTTAAGTCAAAGGAATATGACTGATACTTTGGAGGTTAAATAGGTACAAAGCCTCCATCGTTCATCACAATCTTTTGGTCCTTTATGGGTTGAACCAATCCCTTCACCATCAAAGGGTTTGAATGGAGTGGTCATCTCCATAGTACATAACTTTATCCCTTCTCCCATGCTGTTATCATTTTCTCTTGCCTCTAGGCCTTCAAACATTAGCTGATGTATTAGCGCTTTACTTTAAAAAAAAAAAAAAAAAAAAAAAAAAGGCACTTTAGATTAATACTTCACTTGATGTTCTTTTGTCAATAGTTTCTTATACTTAGTGATCACAATCACCAGCTCGATAAATCGCACATCATAAAACTTCTTCCTCAGAGGTAGTCTCAAAGCCTTCTAGGCAATGGCTATGAGTTGAGCATGGTTGATTGGGAACTGGTATCTCATCCTTGTTTTCCTTAACCTCATCATAAAATCCTCCGTAGACTCATGTTCATATTGCTTCACTTCCACCAGATCATTAATGGTCATTTCAGGTTCCACTTATAAAACTGCTCAAGAAAGGCCATTTCCATTTGCCTTCAATTGGCAATGAAATTAGGGGTAACAGAGAGTACCATTGGGAAGCCAAACCTACCAGTGAGTTCCCAACCAATCTCAGTTTGTAATTGAGGCTGTCCTTGAATGCCACATAGTGATTTGAAAATTTGAAAATTTGATCTCTGGAAGATACATTATAGTCATCCCCATTGAAAATTTACTCATAATATCATATGTCTGACTAAAGGGAGTTCAAGGCCCTTCAAACTACTTCTTTGGTTAAGGTTAACAATTAAAGCAGCAAGGTTAATTAGTTTAGCAAGATTAATCATATATGGAACTTTGAATGAAAAGCAGTCGAAAATGATATAGGATCCAATGAAAATGCATAAAACAACAGATCTACCTTATGTAAGTACAAACAAAAGACATTCGGACAAGATTATGATCTTGTTAGGCAAGGTTCGTCTTCTTGCAACCACTTCTCTTTGTGTTTTATAGGGGTTGTAATCTTTGGAGAATGAAATATAAATCAGGTTTACTAAAGGGATTCAATACTACAACACAAGAAAAATGTAGCAGAGCTTCTAAAACTTGACAAAAGATGGCTTTCTATGGTGGTCTTACAACTAAAAAGGTAAAGTTTAGACAAACTAAAGCTTTCTGGTTTCTTGCTTGCTGGAGTGCAAAGTTGGATGTCTTTTGATTGATGGTTGAGTGTCCTTCTTCCTTGTGTTCTTTGCTGCTTTTATAGCCTCTCTAGCCCAACTGTCCAAGCTTCACCTTTTGGTGGTGGCCTCAGAGTATGGTCAGCCACCATTTATTTACCTATCTATGCCTTTGAAAAGTACTTTTTGTTGGGGGTGAGTTGTCCTTTGAGTATCGCTTCCAACATAGGCTTGTTGCCTATTCTTTGACAAAAAATGATTTTTAATTCTGCCTGGGTTGCCGCTTTGTCCGAACCCAATCTTCCTTCTACTTTTTACGTTCTTGGGCTTCCAATCGCACCAAGCCCAACATTAAATACCCACTCAAATAGATACGATTGTCAACCACCTATTTTAGTAACATCACGAAAGAATGTTACAATCACAAAAAAATAAGAAATTCTTCAAAACCTAACCGTTGAACAAGATGAAGCATTGGAACGACTCCATGAAGGAACCCCAAAGGGCAAAGGCTATATGAATATGTCTTCTTTTAAGTTCTTGCAACAGGCAACATAGATTTTATTGTGTGTATATATATTATAATTAAATAACATAAGGACACAATAGTATACCCTCCACCTATAGAATCCAAATTAGTTTTGGGAGAAAATAACAAAATTCAACACATTGTATTGTCAGCATCTTGAAATACTTTAATTACTTGTAAAATGGAAGTAGTTAATGACTAGCTAGATTGCTAGTAGAACTCACAAAATATATTCCACTTTTTCTTCGACCGGGTTGAAATTTCCGGCAAAGTTTTTATTGGGGCCCTTTATATGCACCCTATCCTCAATGTTAGTTTTGTACGTTTTCAAACTCATCATCAATAAATATCGTACTTTGTTTCAAAAAAAAAAAATCACAAAATATACGCCAGTTTTTGTTTAATTTTTTCTGTCAACCTATAGGCATTAATTATTATATAGTCGAAAACTTACAAACATATTCAATATAATTAATATTCAATACAAAAATGTATTAGTAAAGGGGTAATGATGAAGCAACCTCCACCTCTACTGATATCAGTCTCTCAATTCAATCCATTATTTCTATGGTGAAATAATGAAACTAACTAAAGCACAGATAGCCAATTGCCAAACCAAGATTTTCCCAAACTACATTGCATAACCAAGGATACACCAATGATATTACAGATATAAGAATAATAATAAAGAAAACCCAAGAAAATTGGAGATGAAAAAGGAGAACATTATGAATAAACAGAAGAAAAAAAGCCAGAGTAAATTACAAATGATAATAATAATGATGAGTACTTTATAAGGGTAGGGTTAAGCAGAAACTAGCTAATCGATGATTAAGGGGCAGGTGGGGGAGGTGGTGGTGGGTTGATCTTGTTGGCTAGGTTGTGTTTGTTGTTGTGCATCCAAACCTTCAGAACTCTTCTTTTGACCCCAATCTCTTGGCAGAAGTTTTGGACAAACGAGTCTTCCTGCTTCTGAATCTTCCACCCTACTTTCTCTGCAAAGTTTAACATTTTCTCCTTCTGCTCCTGTGTAAACTTTGTCCTGAACCTTTTCTTTGCTACATGTCCTACTGCTGGCCTGCTGCCCACTGTCCCACCACCACCGCCACCATGATGACGATGATGATGATGATCTTCCTGCTCATCAGACTGATCTGAAGGAATGGACCCCACCATCCCAATCATCCCCATCCCCATGTTGTAGTTAGACATTATCATCTGGTGCTGGTGGGGGTATTGGGGTGGTGCTAGTAAACTCTTGTGACGTCCTCCTCCTCCTCCTCCTCCTCTTTCATGGCTTAATAAGAATTTCTTGCTGCCAACACCAGCCGCCCTGTTGATGGTATGATGGAAATTATGATCCCAAGAGGAGAGCTGCTGCTGCTCACCTTCAACTTCTTTTCTGTGGAAGTTTCTGTGGCAGTGGCAGGCAGAGCAGTTAAGGGCTTCAATGGTGCCCTCTTCTCCACTGGGCATGAATTCGCCACAGCCATCCGTGGCAGTCCCTCCCATGGCTGCTGCATGGTTCTTGAGGCACTCCTTGTACCTCACACCATTGTGCCCAACAACTGCTTGTTTCTTATTATTGTGAGTGTTGTATTTGTAGGGCACAACATTTGCATTTGCGTTGTTGAAATGATCATGATGCTCCTCCTCCTGCTCCTCCTCCTCCTCATGAGAATGATCCAGGCCTGTGGGCATGGGATTAGAGCCATTAGTATTGTGGGGGGTTTGATTTTGGGGCACCACTGTTGAGGGGGGAAGGAAATTGGAATGGTTGTTTTTGTTGTTGTTGTGGGGCACGGCTGCTCTTGCTGTTGCTGCTGCTGTAGGGTCATGGGGGTGCTGCTGCTGATGATGATGGATCAAGTGGCCATGCCCACCACTTCTAAAGGAAGTATTTATTGGGATCGGGATCGGGACTGGGATTGTGAGTGGGATCTCTCCTTCTTGACTTGAAAGTTGATCCATTATTAATTAATTAATCAATCTATTCTTTAGCTAGGATAGATAGATGGATCTTTCTTTTCTTTTTTCTCTAACTACTATTTTAATGATTTGGGTCTTGTTTGTTTGGTAGTTGGAGACCAAAAGAAAAGGAACAAGAGAGAGAGGGGAGAGAAAGACAAACAGAATTGGAGGGTTTGAATATGGTGCCAATATATAATTAATCCTTTTGATTAAAGAACATAGTACAGCAATTAATTAAAAGGGTCTTGATTCACGCTTGAGCCACATCCACTTCGACATATATCTCCATAAATTGCTGTATACCAGTAGTAGAACCAAGCTAGCAAATACTACTAGTGTTCCTCTTTCATTAATTTGAAACAGATAGATAGATAGATAGATAGAGGGGACAAGGAGAGAGGGGGGGAGGGAGTAAAGGAGGTCACCACGCACTCATCAAAGACTCCCAAGAAAGAAGATAAACATAAAAGAAATTAATCGATCGAGAAATGGCTAAGGAGTAGAGAAGATCAGAAAGAATGAAAGAAAGAAAACAATTAGAGGATGAACTTCCCTTTGAGAATATATGTTTGGTATATAGCTAATTCATGCTCATGCGCTGCTTAAACAGTCACCTTCCATTTTCCAATTTCCAACAGGCATAAAGAAGCTGCGAAAGAAAAACAGTCTTTCTTTGGCTAATTTGGAGGGAGAGGGAGATAGAGAGAGCTTAATCAAATGAATGGTGAAGTATAGACTAGTTTATGAACAAACCAAAGTAAATCTGATCATTGATTAAGTTAGCAAGGGAAGGGAAACTGATGGAGCTAATGGGTGGTAAAGAAACAAAGCAAGAAATTATAAGAGATCAGTTGTTGGAGAACAGACTCAGAGAGAGAGAGAGAGAGAGAGAGAATAGGTATAGCTAAGCTTAACCGTGGAGAGACTAGTTTTGATGGTGGTTTTGCTAGTGTAGCACTAAGTATTAATATCGGCTTACATTACATACTCACTAGTGATGAGTCCTGATGAGGGGCCCAATTAGGAAAGTCGAGAGAGAGAGAGAGAGAGAGAGAGAGAGAGTTAAAGGCATAGCTTTTTTACAGACAGAGAGGAATACACAGTGAGCTTTTGGAGAAACCATACCAGTTGAAACTTGAGAAAGCACCCATAATCCAAGAAAAAAAAAAAAGTGGGGGCGCTTGCTTGCTTAAAGCTTTGCTTGCACTATCAGGCAAGTCATACAGCGCTCTGTGTGTGTCAGAGAGTGGAAAGGACAATAGGAATACAATGCCAAATGCCACAGACAGAGAGACAGAGAGAGAGACAGAGAGAGGAATTATGAAAAGTAATGTTGTCTCAAAGGAAAATTAGCAAAACCTCTCATATTTTACAATGCTGGGAAGTTCTTTTTGCAGTCTTGTTTTTATTTTGCACTCACTTTTCTTTTAGCTTTTAATCGAATAAAATTAAAGGTGAATTACTTAAAGGACATAATCAATAGGGAAATACAAAAAATAAAACAAGTATTTGAAAATCATTGTCCATGTTTAATATGAGTGCCCTATACTTTATTTGAACTCAAAATGTTTTCTGTGTACCTTCTTCTTCTGCCTTTGTCTTCAATCTTCACACTCTCAAATTCCACTCCTAATCAAGGGCCTAATTAATTGAGCTCAATTATTAGATAAAATAATGACATGCATGACAGTAATATAATACACACACACACACACACGTTTACGCGCGCAAAACCATATATAGTACTGCTGCTGCCTCGGCACTCAGGTCAGCTCCATGCAACAAATGCCTGTTCAATTATTTAATTCAAGTTTCGTCGTTAACCATTTGGGGGTGAAATCAAGAAAGCCTCATGCTACTCACGTGAACCATTTATATCATCAAATTATCTAATTAAATAGAGGGATGTTGTGATCCTAATTACTTACGAACAAAGTTAATTAACTTGTATATTTCACCGCCTGTAGCTGTCACTTAATTTTTGTTCAAGATATTGGAAGCACGCAATCCTCTGCAAAGTTATAATTCTAATCAATCAAGAATCTAAGAATATTAGTTTTCTTAATTAAATGACCTTCCCACTCATTTGCACCTAACTTTTCCATCTTCGTTCGGAACTAGTTAGCTAGCTAACTTATTTTTTTTATCCAAGGGAAAGTAAGGCCTTACTATGGGGAGAAATTAAACTAAAATGGAGTTTGTTTTGGACTAAACAAAAGCTCAGATATGCTAATGGCCAGAACTTTTTCACAACACACCCTTAAGCTTTTGATTAATCACAAAATATCGATATATACACACTATTTCCATCGGATGATAAATTGATAATTATGGTTTCTTTGCAAGATTGTTTGTTTACTATGTTGCCACAACGCCACATTTAGAGTTCAGAATAAGAGTTCGGACAAGAACCAATTTGATGTTTTTTCATTAAAAAAGGGACATTCCTTGTTTAATTATATACATATATATATATATATATATATAATATTTGAGAAGAACTTACATGAAACTAGTTCATTATTACTGTGATCGTCAGGTTCACTAATCACTACTATTATACCATTGCTAGAACTCTTATGCAAGAAGTGAATCAAACCATTTAATAGAGATATGAAATAACATACATAAAAGGAGATATAATGTAATGTACCTAATACATATTGTACAAAATAATGTGGAGGATAGTTACAAGGAGTTGGAAAACTGATGGCAACTACTACCGGGATAGGTGGAGCAGTTGCATCCCTATAACAAGGGTTTTGATTCCCTTTCTCGGTAAGTTACAAGGTTCTCATTTGTGTGATTGCGCTTCCTATCAAGAGCAAGAGTTCCAATTCGTTTCCAAGAGAAAGGAAGGTCTTAATCACATCTCATACATCATGGCTTCATCTTCGAGTAAGTGTTCCATTAATTGACTATGAACTAATGCTTTAGCAGCAATTAGGGTTAGTAATACTGCATGCATTTATTGCAATACGTAGTTCATATTTTGATTTTGATCTTTGTATGAAGTATATCACAAAGGTTTTACAACCATGTGTGTAAGTTTTTTTCATATGACATTACGTTATTGAATCAAAACTCTACAAAACAGTAAACTCGTTCCATGCAAATTGCTCTCGTAATATTTTTAATCACAACTCACAAGAGGTGGATCATGCATAACATAATGGATTACTCAATACGACAATGATGTCCCCTTGGAAAGCAGACGACATTGCCATTTCAGTTCATTATGAATCATCACAATCACATGAAGAGAGAGAGAGAGAGAAAGAGAGAGAGAGAGTCAATAGTTCTTCATAATAGTTCGACTATCTAATCCAATGGTGATATGTAGAACCTTGACTTAGCAGTACTATTACTATATAGTTTGATTTTAATGAATCTTAGTAAAAGTAACTAATCTGAATTGTAGTAATATATTTTATATATATATATATATATATATATATATATATGTGAGTGTGTGTGTGTGTGTGTGTTAGTAAGTGGTTCTTTGTACCCTTAAAGAAAGTCTCTGGACACCCAATCTCTATGGCCACGCATATTCCAATTTCAAATATTGTTTTACACCCTTCTATATTTGCAAATATGCCAAATATGTCCTTTGAGATGTTATAATTTTTTTCTTTATAATTAAACCTAAAACTCAAAAAAGGAAAAAAAAAAAAAACTACAACTAAACAATTATAAAATAAACAGAAATTAAATCAACAATAAGAAATCCAATCTGAAGGTCTTGAGAGGGGTTAATACTACGATTTAATAGACATTATTCTCTACTTATAAGTTAGTATTCTTATATTTGACTCTCAAAAGTAATGAATTCGATACTAAAATTATAGTGGCTAACTCATTGTGTAAGTTTAACTCAAATTCTCACACCTTAAATATATTGTGGGATAAAAAAAGTTATATATTGAGTATTGCTAATGAGACTTACTTTTATGAGTAATGCAAGTGATGCTACATATGCATATATTTATGATATATATAACACAAAAATTTTGATAACAATTATCATATATATATAATGGTTAGGATCCTGACACTTATATGGGTTAGGATTTAGAGATCCATTTTTTTTTTTTACAAAATGTTGGCATACGTTTTTGTAGTTCTTATTTTGTAATTTTTTTCAAGAATCCAAACTGTTTATATTTTAATTAATCATTCATAGATCATCCTTACAGAAAAATTAAATAAATCTAAAATCATTAAGACATTCATTTGTAGAAAGAAAATGGACAAAAAATACGGTTTTACAAAGAAACACTAAAATTAATCCAACAGTCATATGACTTTAAATTTTGGTGATCTTTGGTAGAAGTGATATTTAAAGGAAAACATAAAAAATAGATGATTAAATCATTAAACATATTACATAATGAACCGTATAAAATGTGTGTCAAAAACGTGTCTCTCCAGATCCTAAACCTATGTAGAGAGAGGCAAACACCAAATTAAATAACTACATGATATATGTGGAAATTAGCACAGGGCTGTTGCGTCTTGTTCTATAAAGTTTTTCTTTACACATTCTGCAGGGAGGAATTAATTAACATGCATGTTTATATAATATCTATGAGAACTAAACTTTACTCAAATCACTTTATTCTTTTGTTATCCCTCCTTTATTCCACACTCTATACACCGCGTTTAAGGACTTTATCCTTCTTTAGTTTTTTGTTTTTCTGTTTGTTGTCTCTTCTTATAATTTTCCCTTACTTTTTTCTTTGTTGCTCTTCTTTCTCCTTTTTGAGTTCTCTCTCTCGTTGGAGGCCAACCAAAAGCAAAGCGAACAAGATTTGTATTTTGGGATTCAGTTTTAAATGAGTATACCACATAACCATTATCATATTAGTATACAATATAATGTGGTAAATGATACAAACAATCAACGTTCAATCATATTAATTCATTTATTGACGTGACATGTACACATTATTTGTCATATGAAATAGTACAAAAATATGATCTTCTTGTATTTTTCTATTTTCCCTTTAAAATAGTCTGCATATTTTTTCATACTCTTATTTTACATACATTTAAAACTTTCCCCATTCATCAATTTCAATTCTCGAAATAAACATTTTTTTAAAATTCCTTTTTCTTCTAACTTTTATATGATGTTCACCAAAATAATAGTACAGTGGACTGTGGAGAAGGTTAGTAGTAGATTAGTTTATTAAGGAAAAATTATATCAAGATACTAAATTATCAATTTCGTCTTAGGTCTTAGTTTGTTTTGGGACGGCTTTACTCTTATAGATTACATTATTAATTAAAATCACACAAAACTTTAACACGCTTGAACAATTGGACTATAATAATAAGTTTTAAGATGTCTCAGAGCAAAAAGAAGTTGAAAAACATATGGTTCCATCCATATCTCAATTGCATAAGTTTGCCAAAATTAAGATCCAATGACGTGCGTACTTTCCTCCTTGCTTTCACTCAGCCAAAGTTGAATCTTGCTCGTCGAGAGGTTAATAATGCAACTCATAGGCTTCCTCGTACTGGAATTGGAAGACAATATGATGTGTCATGGTTCGAGGAACCACCGGACATAATCATGGACATCTTACTAGATGATATTTCTTGTTAATGTGGCTGGTTTTGTAATTGTATTTCCTTAAGGACATGTTTCCTTATGTTGTTTGTGTGGGACATTCATTTTCTCTTGAACCGGGTTGAAATCTCCGACAAGGTATCAAGACCCATTATGCACACTATCCTCAAGTTTTGTACATTTCCCTTTGATCAATGAATATCGTACCATTTAAAAGAAAAGATCCAATGACAATTATGGGCAAAAGGATATTTTCAAATTGATCATTAATCGTATTATGGGTCATTTATCTGCTCCTCAAATTTCAATATATATATATTTCTTCAACTTTCATTTCAAGAATAGAGTGCATTTCTTTGCATAGAACCATATTTGCTCATTGCGCAAGCGGTAAGTTACATGTTAAAAGACAATATTAATGTAGTAAGCAAAGAGTCGTTGGTTCATCTCCAAAATCTT